AGAGAGAGAGAGAGAGAGAGAGAGAGAGAGAGAGAGAGAGAGAGAGAAACAGATTAAAGAGGGGAAAAAGCAATGATTTACAGTCAACACTATTGTCTACTTAGCTGCCACTTGGAAATTTTGTCCCAGATCACTTTTTCAGATTTTACCTATCATAGTCATCAGAAGAATTGCATCTTTCCCTACCCCAGAGAATGCATTAAAATAGATTTACTTAACGGTATCACATTTCCTTGCATATATCATAATCAAGGTGAATATGATCTATAAGAATGTCTGGGAATGCAGGTAAATTTTCTGGGGAGGATTTTACTACTTTAAAAAGAAACGTCTAACTAAAAATAGGTCATTTAGTTTCAGAATTAAAGACCAAACTGCTCTAGACTGTAAACACAGTCTTTTTATTCACTTCTGTGTCTTTAGAATTTGTTGCATACACATTCAATATATGAAGCAGCCAAAGCCATTTGGTGAGCATGAAGGGCGTTGTTTACATGTCAAAAAGAGTGTCTTAAGTAGGCTTCTGTTGCTATGATAAAGACCATGTCCTGGGGAACAAAACTTTATTTCATCTTCCACTTCAAAGTAATAGTTCATCAATGAAGAAAGTTACGGAAGGAACCTGGAGGCACAGTCCATGAAAAAAACCATTTCTTTCTACCTTGCTCTCCTTGGCTTTCTCAGCCTTCTTTCTTATACTAACCTGCATAGAGGTGGTACCACTGACAATGGGCTGAACCCTCCTACATCAGTTATTAATTAAGAAAATGCCCCTCCCCCCATGCTGACTTGCCTATAGGGCAATGTGAGGTAGACAAATCCTGAATTGAGATTCCAGATACTTATAGGTTTGTGTCAAGTTGACAAAAACAACCAGGACAGACAGTTAAACACATTAATGAGAGAATATTGAACGAATTCATTTATTTATTAGAATTACCAGCGATGAAACTGACCTGATATTTGTTATATGACAAAACATAAATTATCACTCAGTCTAGTTTCCTGCTTTCTACATGCATGTCATTAATATGTTTAACTCCAAACTGAACCATTTTTAAAACTCATCTCTCAGAAACATGTTTTACTATTTGACTGAGAAAGAACTTTAAGATTTAGAGAGGCATGGCCCAGTTTTGAGAAGAAATCCACATTTAAATCCAACGATTTCAGCGGTGCTGAAAGAAATGCAAACACAACCAAATAACTTAGATAAGGGGTTCACTTTTTTAGTTGGGTTTATACCACATTTGGAGAACATTAACTCGGATTTTTGGAGTGAGATAGCCTAATGTCTTGACTCTAGCATTTAAAAAACAGTTAAGTATAGTGCCTAATACATTGTGTGTGTGTGTGTTCCACCGCCCCGCTCCCTCCTCCCCTCTCCCTCCTCACTGTCCTTTCTGCCTGCAATGCTAATCTCATCCTGTGTGTAATTCCTATGCATCTGGTAAAACTCCATTTAGTTAATCCCCCAGGAAGCCTTCAGATTTCCCTAGATAGCCCTGGAATGCTTCTTTTTTGTTCCTACAATACTGTGCTTTTCCTCATCCATAACAGTGAAACAGTACGTTTATTTCTTCTCAAGAAAGAAAGATGTGTCTAGTATTTCTTTATTCTCAGCTCTTAGCATACTATCTGACATTTAGGATTATGGGCGTTAAAGTAAACATACTTAATATTAAGCTCAGAATCCAACCAATTCTTCATTGAAAAATTCATTCAGTGTGATTGTGGTTGCCCATAGCTGTGATCCTGGCACTCCAGAGGCTGACACCAGAAGGATGTAAATTTCAAGGCTAGCCTGGGGTATGTAAGAAGGCCCTATTTTAGAATCAATCAATCAAACAAACAAACAAACAGCAAGCCCTTTACAAATCATTCATGTACTTGTGACTGCAAAATGTTTCCTTGCTCTGCTGTAACCAAGATGAACAAATTTTCTCCTCTCACCGTCACCACTACCTTTGTTTCTCGCCCCCTCCCCCTTCCGTGCCTTCTCTCTGCTTTGCTTTTGCTTCTCATCGGGCTGCAGAATAGAGCGGGAGGCTGGCTGGGCTGGAGAGGAAGTCAAGTATGTCATAGCAGGGGAGGAGGGTCTACAGGACTGCTAGTTTTAAAGAGGAAAACTCAAATCAAGCACCAAAACACACAGCAAGGGAGAGGAAGGAGAGCAGAAAGGCATTCCTCTGTGGAGCTGAACCCTCACAGCACTGAGGCAGACAGGCACTGAAGCTCAATTTGGCATACCTGAGTGACTCGAGACTCAAGGTAACTATTTTATCACCCTCCTTGTCTTTTCTTTCCAGTCCATTGCTTCTGGAATTCCGGAGCTTCTGAATTTGAGCTGGGGATAGGCACGTCTGTTGTTTCTCTATTGAGAGAAGATCTACTGTGAAGCCTGTGCCTGGAAAGCAGTTTAGAGTTCCAAAAGCAGCCGAAGCTCTTTCCGAGGGGAGAATTCAGAAAATTCAGATTGCTTTCGAGCATCCAGTGAATTTTAAAAGTATTTTGATTGGGTTCAATGCATCTGGGTGCTAGCCTTGTCTTTTATGAGCAGACAAAAAGTCAGACACAAGCTAGTTGGAAGCACAAGGGAATATTGCTGAGGCAAAGAATTGTTTCTTAATTCTTACTTGAAGTTGTTTTCTCCCTTTGCTTGCACTTCCAGTTTAGCTGTTAACTACTTTGATTTCTTGGATTTCTGACTTGGGGCAGTATAAAAGGTGGGGACCACTTTTCTAATTTGAATATGTGGGTTTGTTCTTACAAACAAGTAAATATTTAAAACACATCGGTTTAAAAGATGAGAGAGACAGAAGCCAAGAAACAGAGAAAAGAAAGTAAAGGATTCCAGAAGAAAATGGAGGGCGGTAGGTAGGAAAGGGGAATTAGGACCTAGGGAATTCAGGCTTAATAAAACAGAAAACTGATTGTTTATAAAGTGTCTGGTTTTCTCACAAATGTCTTCCTGCACATTTTCTGGCAGTCACGGATCATTTTGATGAGCTTACAGTACGGTGTACTTTGCTACAGCTGACTTTTGTCTTTGGAAAACATGGATCTTGGTTACAAGTAGAATTATTCAGAGCCAGAAATGGAGAGATACATTGGCTAGTTTCTTTACTGCCTTTGAAATGCTAAAATATACGACTCAGTTCTTCTGGGCTTGGTATACAGCTGCTTTTATCGTCTTCTCTGCAGCCTGATTTAAGCCCTTTATTAAATGTCACCTCATTTACTTCCTCCTTACAGGGACTCTTATTTCTTTGATTAACTGAGGGCACTACCAACAAACTCTTACCAGCCTCCGGTTTATTCATGAAAGAGAATAAATGAGGTATTTCAGGGTTTCTTAAAAGGCTGCCTTCTGCCCACCCCCAGACCCCCCACAAAGGGGGAAAAGCATTTCCAAAACTGACTGCTTGTTAGGTTAGGAGAACTCTTTGTGTTTGTTGCTCGGCTGTTTCCCCATAAGCAAAACCAGCTTGACAGAGAACATTGAGCTGGAGAAAGGGAGAAAGAAGTTATATAGGAAGCTTTATATGTAGAAAAGAGTTTTTTACATCGCAAATACATACAAACAGATAAACATCTTCCTGTTTGGGGAGTATGTCCTCCTTGACTTCATGCTGTAATGTATGCACAAGGGGCTGTTTTGAACTTGATATTTTCATTATTAAAGAAACCACTTTCATTTTCTTTCTAACAGGAAGAAAAAAGCAAAGCAAAACAAAAAACAATCTACCAAAAACCACTCACACATTGAGGTACCTAGCTATGAATAGTGTCACATGTAGCTTTTCACAGTAGCGTTTCTATATCTATGTTTAAAAACGTTTGAGAAAGGCAGGAGCTGAAGTTCCAGTGCAGCTCCATCCTGACTTTTGTTCTGATTTCTTCTCCCAGAATAAGGACTCTGTCCTTTTGAAAGAAGCTAACATTGTTTTGTTAACAGGAGCGGCAAACTGGCTACTCAGCTTGACTCCCTAAAACACTGGTTCTCAATCTTCCTATGCTGCAACCCTTTAATATATTTCTTAATGTTGGGGTGACCCCCAACTATAAAATTACTTTCGTTGCCTACTTCATAACTAATTTTGCTACTGTTATGAATCATATATGATTTCCTTCTTATATTATTAATTAGTTTTTTCTATATTCATCTTCTAGCTAAAAAACATTGAGGCTCAGAGAAGAAATTTTATAGTTTGCTCAAAGTTACCCAGCTAATAACTGGTAGAGTCAGGATTCTAACCGGACATGTTCTTTTATTAATTTACAAGAAGAGACAAGTAGATATTGAATTAGCAGAATAAATAAAAAGGACATTACAAACATTCAGAATCATAACTTTTAGTCACATGGACATGAAAAATGAATGTGCTTGAGGAACTGGTTATAGGTTCAGTGCAGCTAACATATCCAAAGAGAAAACTTCAAAGGGAAAGAGAACTGGGATTAACCAATTAAGAGCAAGGCAAGGGCAGCTACCTTATAAAATTTGGGAGCCAATATTGTTGTCTTCATTTTATTTTCTCATAGCTTTCAGATCCATTTTTTAAAATTTAAATTAATTTATGTTATTAATATGTGTTCATTGTGAAAATGGTGAATTGCATTCTGTGGATTTTCATATGCTTTATTAAATACAAATGCATTTTCTTATCTTGACTTTGAGGAAGTTTTGATAGAGATAGCCAGAGTCAGCATCTTAGTAGGATAGTTCCAATTCTAGTATAAACAGAGACTGAAAAAAATAGTCCCTGTAAAGAAGTTAATAGACTGTGCACCTGCTTCTCTCTGGGCAGTGGGAACATCAATAGTATTTACCTCATTGGATTGTTGGACATAATTAACTGAGTTAGTACAGGAAGAGATCAAATGAAGACTGGCATGCAGTATTTCATAAATGTTAGGTGCATATATCTTCCACATTATCATTATATTAGATGAAAGTGTAGGAAACCCTATGAGTGCAAAGGTAAATGAATGCTTGAACATTTCTATTCTTTATTGGGAAACTCAATTGTTCTTAGCAATAGGGTGGATGTCAGAAGGATGAAATAAGACTTGTGAGGAAGGGGGAAGAAAAGTTCTGAGTAAGGACATATCAACAAATAGTAAATTAAAAAAAAGACACATCAAAAGCAGCCAACAGTCACCTACACATTTTTTCATACATGTGCATATTAGCAGATATAATCAAAAGTATGAAGTAGCTAATAAAAAGCTTTGTGATCTGCTTGAGTTTAGATAGCAGCATAACTACTTTCTAGTTTATGTTGGGCAATGTTTTAGCATCTGTTATTTAACGGTGTGTGAATGATAAAAGTAACCACTTCATCAGCCAGGAACAACGCCTAGCACAGACACCCTATATAGTGCTATTATATATTCTTATCATTACAAAGGAGATGCAACTAGCTTATCATTTAGAGTTTCCATGTAAGAGATTTGGATTTGATATATAGGTAAATTGAAACCATTTAATCATAGTAAACAGAGAAGATGTCATAGCAGCTGGTCTGAAAGCAAAATTAATAATTTCTTGTGTTGGGCAGTAGGAAAGATGGATGTGAATGTGTAACAACCAGAAGGAGACAAAGCAGTTGGAAAGGTATTGTGTTAGTGCACAATATAAATTGTCAGTGGTAGTAATGTGTATCCAAGAGACATCCCAAAGGAATGGCTTCTAGTTAGTGACAAATATGGATAAGAAGGAAGGGTAAGTCATTAAAATGACTTGGGATTTAGAACTTTGATGTGGATGACATAAAATTGTGGTTCTTCTGACAATAGGAAAAGTTATAAAATGTGACAAGTTTGGGCCGGAAACATAAAGACAAATAATAATGAATTCTATTTAAAAAAAAAACTTTCACACACATAAAGGTGATTTTTCAACCTGCTAGAATCAAGGCACTGCCAAAGCAGTCAGCAAGGAGCTGCAAACAGGGAGCTGAAGGTTAGAAAACAGGAAGAAGCCTGTCTTGGAAATCGCAGAAGACATGTACAGGGATGTGTACTAGAGCAGGCAGTTAAAACCAATTTGGGCTGCAGACATTGGGAGTGGTTGGATGAACATATCAGGGTGTTAACAGCAAAAGGTATTTGAGTAATATAGGACTGAGAGTGAATAAAAGGGAGGAAATATATAATATAATAATATATATTCAAAACCATAAAATTAATTTTATAAGAATACACACAAATGAAAAGAAGCACACTAAGTGGACTGGCATAGTTGTTTGTCTTAGGGTCAGGGATGGGAGAGTGAATGAGTTGAGAAAATAAAGCAGAAAAGCAGAAATGTTCCAGAAAGGGAGTCTTGCATAAACTGTGGGTAACCTGCTATGACATGAGAATTATTGTCTGATGAAGGGGCAGTTAGGGCTGGGGTTTTGCTCAGCGGAAGAGATCTTGCCTAGGGTGATACAAGCCCTCAAAGATGGAGAAAAGATTGCAAAGCCAAGCCATGAAGGTATTTTCTATGCTGCCAGTCCTAAGTTAACACAGTTAACAAATAAGTGGTTATGCTTTTGCATGAGTTTATATTTTCTTTTCTCAGTCAACAAATGTAGTGTGTGTGTGTGTGTGTGTGTGTGTACACCACGGTCAACATGTGAAGGTCAGAGGATAAAATTTAGGAGTTGGTTCCCTCCTTGTACTGAGATGGACTCCAGTTTTTGCTGTGTTACATACTCTATACTAGTTGGCAAATGAATTTCTGAGAAATTTTCCTGTCCCCACGTTGTATAGGCACCTGGGATTACAGGTCTATGGCACTGAATCCATGTTCTGACATAGGTTCAGGATCAGATGGGTCATTAGGCTTACATGGCTAGTGTCTTATGTATTGAGTGATCTCCAAAGCCTTGGGTTTCTTGATATACAGACTATATGTATTCAGAAAACGAATGCTTATGAACAGACTCCCCATACAATATACACTCTTGCTCAAAAGTAATGTTTTGTTCTTTCAGGTCAACATGGCCATGCCAGAAAAATCAAGTTGTGTCAACCCGACCGAGGAGTGCAGCAGTTTCCCTGAGATTATTGAACTCAATGTAGGTGGCCAGGTGTATATAACTCGATATCCTACTTTGATCAGCATTCCTGGTTCCCGGCTCTGGGAAATGTTCAGTGTAAAGAACCCTTGCTCACTGATCAAGGACAACAAAGGGAGATTCTTCATAGATCGAGATGGTTTTCTCTTTCGCTATGTCCTCGACTACATGAGAGACATGCAAGTAGTGCTTCCAGATCACTTTCCAGAGTGTGGCCGGCTCCGTAGAGAAGCAGAATACTTTAAACTGCCAGAACTAGCTAAGATGTTGGCTCTTAAAATGAACCAGCTCAACTCAATTGGCAATGACTCATGTCAGACTGAGCTAGAAGAGCTCTCACCCAGCATTGAAACCACGTTCAATTTCTCTTCAACCAATAGCATTCATATTAGCGGCCCTGATAATCCTGTGGTTCTGTCAGCTGCCACTGGTTCTGAGCTCAAGAAGGCTGGCTTCATCACTATTGGCTATCGAGGCTCTTATACTCTGGGCAGGGACAGCCAAACAGATGCCAAATTCCGCCGTGTGGCCAGAATCATGGTATGTGGTAAGATCTCATTAGCCAAGGAAGTGTTCGGAGACACTCTGAATGAGAGCAGAGACCCAGACCGCCCTCCAGAGCGATATACTTCTCGATACTACCTCAAATTCACTTTCTTGGAACAAGCCTTTGACAAACTAGCTGATGCTGGCTTCCACATGGTAGCATGCAACTCCACTGGCACCTGCACTGTCACCCATGACCAAACAGATGACAGGATCTGGACCTCTTACACTGAATATGTTTTCTATCGTGAGTGACACTTAAAATCACCCAGGAAATACAAACCCCCAGTCTCTCTCCTCTGTTTCCATGCCAACTGTCTCCTTTAGAAATAGACACATTAATCACGCTAGGTTCCCGAGTGTTCTGTATAATCTTGAACAATGCTACTTCTTTCATCATAACCACTTGAACCTTTGCTGGTTTTGTTCTTATACATCATTGCAGTCCATCTGTCTATCTTCTTTGGACTGTAGAGTGGAAGCCATTTGCTGAGAGGTGTGCATCAGTATAGATAGTAGAGGTATATTTCTGAAGTGGATGCTATTAAATATAACCACGTAAATTACATGTGTTGAGAACTATTAAGCTATGACTTCCAAGTTGTTTCTCAGTAATAACCTACCTTGAACTTGATTATGTACCTTGCTATCTGTATTCACCTACGGAAAGCCCTGTATTGCTGGGCTAGAGATTAGAGCAGGTAGTGTGAATGTGCTTTGCAGATGTTTTACCATGCTTAGTGGATGAACTGGACAACAGTTCTCTAGGAGGTTCATAGAAAGGTGGACCAATTCCAGAAGTATTAAGGACTTTTGATTTGATAGAAGCTAGGCAAACAGTTGTATGACTATTTTTTCCAAGAGTTGAAGGCTTAGCACTCAATTTGCTTTTGTATGAAAAATGTAGTAAGGAAGTATTTCATAGATATTACCTCAGTCATAAGCAACTGGTCCATTAAAAAAACTGTCCTAAAATATCTTCCATTAGAATTAAGTGCAAACATATATAGGGAAGAGAACAATGGACAATGTTGCTTTGTGTAAGTATATAAATGTATTAATTAGTGTAGTTTCACTAGTCAAATAATTAGCTGTGTTCACCCATTGTTAACTTGTTTATGTTGGTTGTTGGTGTGAGTGTGTGTTTTGCTTTTCTAGAGGCGGGGATGGGAAAAGGGGAGAAGAAAAAAGGAAAACAAGAAAATAACGAAAACAAAACAAAACACCTGAGATTCATTATCTGATTCCCTGCCAATGACTTTGTAAGTGACCAGGTTGGAAGAAAGTATTCATTCTCAGATGAGAACATCAGGGGCCTAAAATAAGTGACTGAATTATAAAAGACCATGACCAAGTCAAGAAAAAGAGGTTTTTAGGGCTCATTTTAGAAAATCATCCTTACCTCTGTGAAAGCTTTTAGCAATCAAGTAGTCAGAGAGTTTTGTCTTTCCTTTATTCTGCCCTTAACATGGACCACACACCTTTGTTGTTTGCATTGTCTTTAAACTCCTTTTCTATTCAGGTCTTTTTAAGTTTCAAAGAACTAAAACCCACATAAAATGGCTTGAGAAAGAAAAAAACTCTGCATGTGTCAGCAATGTGATTGTGTGAGCACTTTAAGCTCACATTTATCTTATTTTTTCTGTTGAGTCTAAAGGAAATATAGATGAATTAAGTCTCAGAGGGTCTGGGGAGCTGTCAATAATTGATATTCTATCTTTTCTCTCAAAGGCCATATGATTTTCCTCTGCTCATCTCCAAAGCTCATTGATTCCATATTTCTCCATGCCATTCGCTTTCTTTCTCACAATTTATAGGTGACCTGAACAGTATACCAGCCTTTCACTGAAGAGCAACTCCCAGGCATCTTTTCAGGCATACTTCTTTTGTCATTAATCTCATTTTCTAAATTCAAATCAGCTGTGGCCTAGGACAGAAAGGCTGAGTGGATGGTAGCTCTATGGCTTGGACAGCCATTACTATATGGATTACCACATAGTAGGCAAACAATCTTACATGGTCTCTCAGTATAGCACTTCAGATACTCTCTGGTCACTAACTCCTTTAAAGGTCAGTTGAATACAGAAGTTAAGACACAACACATTTTAGATGCTCTTAAAGAGACATTCCCCCCAGTTTACTTAGGTACTATTTTTATGGTTGTTGTCATTTTCATACTCTCCCTATGCAGTTTAGTCTTTACATTAGCTTACTTTTATGTAGATACATTTACTAGCCTTAGCCCCTCTGGCATGTTTCCAGTATTACCAAAGTCTTGATTGCTCCATCCACCTAATAGGGAAGTGGTCATCATTTATTTAAGGTGGTGAGTATATTGCAGTGCACGGAAAGTGAAGGAGCTGTGCCCTAGTGACTTACTACGTGATGCAGTTGTCTACAGTTTGCTCTCTCAGAAATATCGCTAACTTTTTTAAACAGAGGACTTGTAACACCGTTTTTTTAACTGTCATCAATTTACATTATTCTTAGCTTAAGATTATTTCTGAAACACTTGTCATTTGCTCTTCAAATTACTTTCTTTTTCACTCACAAATCATTTAATGGAAGAAATAATGGGAAGAACTATGAAATCTCTGGGATTTGTTGTGTTAAGTGCTAAGAAGGCATAACACAGAAAATTTCATAGTCTAAGTAAGAGGCAGCTAAGTATGTGACTGACTATTTGAGCTCAGCTGCCTTGAGATTTTAGTGAGAGAGATGCTCATAAATAGTCACACTTAGAGTTGTTAAGTTTCTTGTCAACAAAAGAAGAAACTGACCTTTTTTGCAGGAAAAAAAAACGTAATTGGTTCAAAAAATTCCAAAAGTATAGAGAACCACATCTGATGTTACACAGCCATGAACATTATCCAGAATTATTGCACAGTAGTGATAATCTGCTATGTTTATGGGGTATTTGCTTGCTGCAGCCGGTACTAGCTACATTAATGGAATTGTACACGAGTGCTGCAGCCTCTAAAACCTCTATCTGTCTGTCTGTTTATCTATCTATCTATCTATCTATCTATCTATCTATCCATCCATCCATCCATCCGCCCCCCCTCCCTCCCCCCCTCCCGCCCTCTCTCTCTCTCTCTCTCTCTCTCTCTCTCTCTCTCTCTCTCTAAACACGTTTTACTCAGAAGTGAATTGCTGTAGGTTTAGAATGCCAACACTCTTTAACTAGACTTGTAGATCCCAAATTCTAGTTGCGAGGACTACCTTTAGCTCCTTAACTGTAGGTGACTCTCAACCTCCTTTAGTTACCATGCTCTTCAGCCCTTAGAGTCTCAGCTCCCATCTTCAACTCTTCAGAGTCTCTTGCTGCCTCAATATTCCTGCCTTCCTTCATTGTCATAGATTATCACAGTGTCTACCTTCTCTTTCTCTACAGAACTCTTAGTTGCCTCTTGATATTGCAATTCCAACCTTTGGAAACCAGGGTTCTTAGCTAACGGTGACTCGCTAGAAAGTTGCTATCACTTCTTACTTGTCATTGCCACTGCCAGGGCTAAAAAGCAAAATATGAATACAACCTGTCCAGCCTACTCTATGGGTATAAAATATCACAAACTGGTATATAAACTATTCAGTGTATGGCATAGAGGCTACACTCATGATATCTCAACAACATGGACACCTGAACAAGCTCAACACAAAGACAATACCAGTTGCCATGCCTGACTGGATTGGAGAAATCTTACAAGGCTCATCACCAGATGAAGAACTACAGGCAATTAATGGCTACTAAGAGAGTCAGAACCAGTCTTCTTCAGGGACAGACCCCTGATAGGTTATTCAACCCCAAATAGTCAACAAACATACATAGGACCAATACTAAATGGACAGCAGATTGTATTTCTTTATATACATGTGTATGTAAGTAAATATATGTAACAATCACAATTAAAGAAGACATTGTGAATTTGAGAGTTGGAAGGATGTTGGGAGGAATTGGGGGGAAAGGGAGGGGAGTGGAAATGATGTAAATACATACAGTACTCATGTATGAAATCTCAAAAAATCTGAATAATAAAAAGTATATAAACCCAGTCTATTTATAAGTCATTACTGAGCCTAATATTGTAATATTGCAATGGGGATGTGTAGTATACAATAAGAAACCTTTCAGACTGTCAGACTAATCTAATGTATGTAGACTGAGCACTCTACTGTCAGCTTCCCAATCAAGGCAACCAGTGACAAGGGAAGGGTCTGACTGCTGTCAATTGGAAGATCAAATCCCACCCCTCAGCTTGTTGAAAGAAATTCAACCATTACAAGATACTTAAAATAGCTGGGCATGGTGGCACATGCCTTTAGTCCATGCACTGGGGAAACAGAGGCAAGTGGATTTCTGTGAGGCCAGCCTGGTCTATTTAGTGAGTTCCAGGACAGTCAGAACTGCATAGTCAGAACTTGTCTCAAACAAACTAACATGCTTATAATAAAGACTCAACACAAATTCTTCACCATACCAAATACTGTTTGTCTACCTACCTACCCTCCAAGTGTCCTTACAGATGGTATTGATTCCTGAGATCTGTCTCACTTTCAATTTTTAAAATATTTCTTTTTCTTTTAGTAGTAGTTGTTGTTATTGTTGTTGTTGTTGACAGGACCTCACTATGTAGTCCTGGATGACCTGCAACTTACTATGTAGACTAGGCTAGCTTCAAACTCACAGAGATCCACTTGCCTCTGCCTCTCAATGTAAGGGTCTGATGATTGCTGAGGGAAGACCCCAAACTCAGTATGCAAAAACAAAGAATGTTTATTCTGGAGAAACAACCAGCATGTAGGGGTCAATCATTCTCTAAAATGATGACCCCAGACAAAGGCATGCAGGCCTTCTTATAGGGAACTCGGGAAACTCTCTAGGATGATTAGGTAATATAAAATTTCATTGGTGGGTTCTAGGGGGTCACAGGTAATCAGTGGTCCACATTCCTATGTCATTAACGTTCAACCATGTGATGAAATAGGGCTGGCTGAGTGCTGACAGCCCATTTTGAGATAAAATATTTCCCCATTTTTGTGGTTATCCCCAGGTTGTATTTCGGGAGAGATTTTATGATCTTGTTCTGGATTTTATGGTCAGTTCCTAGAGCTAGTGTCTTACGACTCAGTTTCTGGGACTTGTGATCTATTCCTAAAGCTGGTGCCTTACAGCCTTTTTTGAAATCAGGCCTGGTTCTTGAAATGGAGACAAATAGGGTTTATACTGTCCTTTCATCAAGTGCTGAGATTAAAAGTGTGAGCTACCACATCTGGCTGGATTATTATTTTTAATTGGCACACAAACTATCAGGGTTCACTATGACATTTTCTTTCTTTTTTAAGATTTATTTATTTGATATAAATGAATTAATCTGTATATACACCTGAATGCCAGAAGAGGGCATCAGATTCCAGGATAGATGGTTATGAGCCACTATGTGGTTGCTGGGAATTGAACTCAAGACCTCTGGAAGGGCAAACAGTACTCTTAACCACTGAGCCCTCTCTCCAGCCTGTCACTATGGCATTTCAAACATAATTTGGTTTTCTTGATTCTCTCCTGCCTTCCCCCACCCCTGTTCTTCCTTGCACCCTTTCTCCCTTGGGAACCTTCTTTCTACTTCCATGTCATATGTGTTCTGTTGCTCTACCCATCTCTCCCTAAAATAGAAAAATCTGTAAAAGAAGAAAGACTGTTCAAGAGATAAGTAGTCCTGAAAATGACAAATGTCTTTGCCTTAGAGCCTTAAGAGAAAGTTAACTGGAGTGGAAAAGGTCAAGAAAAGCCACTTGCTAGCTCAACCCAAGAGGACAACATCTACTTTCA